CCGGGTCGGCTGCAAGGGGCGCCGAGCGTTCGTCCCCTTAGCACGCCCCCACGCTGTTGGAAGCCTGCAGCCAGCGGGGAAAGTGCGCCCAGCTCGTGTAATGTTGAAAGCTGCTACCTATGAGATTGTGCTTGCGGCTTTCAACATGACACCCGCAAGGCCCCACTGCAAGAGCTGCCAGGGCCCGGGTTGAACTAGGACAGCACCTGCAAGAAATGTGACCTTACTTTCACTGCTGCCCAGCGGGGCTTCATAGCGTTGCTTTCAAACAGGCCAGCCAAGAAGGTAGCGTTTGCAACTTGGAGTGCTGCCACACCCCCTGGCTTATACATGATGGAAACCACTTCAGGGGTTACTGTTGGGCTCAATGGCTCTGAGCTCCCTTCTGACCACCCATGCCAACTTCCTCTCTAGCCTTCCTCTGCCCTCACTCCAGTCCTTCCCCAAGCCCTTGCCCTGCCTTTTCCCATCCCTTTTCCACCCCTGGCCTCAGCCCCAACCCACATGGTGGCAATGTTGTTAAGCCCAGGTAGTAATTTTAATAATAATTAGCATCTTGTATAAGGATGTTAAATTTCAATTAATCAGCCAATCGAGTAGTTGATGGAATTTCCATCAACTACTCAATTAGTCGATAAGGGGGGCACTTGCTATCCCTGCTGCCTCTCCCTTTGAAATGTACAAAGGGAGAGAGGCGATGGGAACCCGTGCCTGCAAGAATCGAAGCAGTCCCCACTGACACCAGTTCCCCTCTGCACCTCTTCCTCCATACATACAAGACCTGCAGGGAGAGAAGCAGCAGTCAGGACCAGCATGAGTGGGACTGTTTCAATCCCTGCTGCCCTCGGCCTTCTCCGCCCCCTGCAGAGATGGTGCTGGGAGGAACCAGCTTTTAAACTGGATCCCCCAAGCACCTGCTCCTGCTCTCTTCCCCACCTCCAGCTTGCTGCCTCTAGGGAAGCAACTAGTTGAGTTCCTATTTGACTACCAGATAAACATTTGCTTTTTGGGTAGTCAGCTAGTTGCTTACATCCCTAATCTTGTGCCTTCCATCTGAACTCCTAAAGGTGCTTTGCAAAGGAGGGAAATCTAAGGCAGAGTTGAGTGACTTGACAGAGCACTACTGCCTCTCTCCCTTTGAAATGTGCAAAGGGAGAGAGGCAATGGGAACCCGTGCCTGCAAGAATCGAAGCAGTCCCCACTGACACCAGTTCCCCTCAAGGGAGAGAGGCGATGGGAACCCGTGCCTGCAAGAATCGAAGCAGTCCCCACTGACACCAGTTCCCCTCTGCACCTCTTCCTCCATACATACAAGACCTGCAGGGAGAGAAGCAGCAGTCAGGACCAGCATGAGTGGGACTGTTTCAATCCCTGCTGCCCTCGGCCTTCTCCGCCCCCTGCAGAGATGGTGCTGGGAGGAACCAGCTTTTAAACTGGATCCCCCAAGCACCTGCTCCTGCTCTCTTCCCCACCTCCAGCTTGCTGCCTCTAGGGAAGCAACTAGTTGAGTTCCTATTTGACTACCAGATAAACATTTGCTTTTTGGGTAGTCAGCTAGTTGCTTACATCCCTAATCTTGTGCCTTCCATCTGAACTCCTAAAGGTGCTTTGCAAAGGAGGGAAATCTAAGGCAGAGTTGAGTGACTTGACAGAGCAGCTCTGTGTCAGAACCAGGAATAGAATGTAGGCAGAGGAGACAGGCTTGGAGTCCAGAGACTTGTC